ATTTAAATGGAATTGTAGTTTTTATTTAAAAGCTTCTTTTAATGGGCTTTGAAACTCTTCAATAACTACCCACAAATCTCAAATCTCAACTGCCATTGCCTAGATGGTATGAGCATTAGAGCTAACTGGTTAAACCAGTCTTTCAGAGTCAGTCCCATCTCCCCGCCTCCCCTGCCCTCGAACATGTTCTGAGACAAAGGTGAGTTCAGCTGGGAGGGGTGGATGGTCTTGAGTCATTTCCCTGTACTTCCTCTCCAGTGACATTATCCACTACTCCACCTTGAAATCCTAGAGCCATTTCTACAAGATTCATTACTCCACTTCATTGAGCAACTGGTCCTGGTAGCTGAAGGCTTAAAAAAAAAAAAAAAAGAATAGTAGCAGCAAGCAACAACTTTATTAGCAATATCATTTTTTTAATCTATCTTATTGATTTTTTACAGAGAGGAAGGGAGAGAGATAAAGAGTTAGAAACATCGATAAGAGAGAAACATGGATCAGCTGCCTCCTGCACATTTCCCACTGGGGATGTGCCCGCAACCCAGGTACATGCCCTTGACCGGAATCGAACTCGGGACCTTTCAGTCCGCAGGCCGACACTCTATCCACTGAGCCAAACCGGTTTGGGCACAACTTTATTAGCAATATCTTAACTCCAGTCTGAGACACACCTGTGAACTTAGAATATTAAGAATGGTGGCCGAAACCGGTTTGGCTCAGTGGATAGAGCGTCGGCCTGCGGACTGAAAGGTCCCAGGTTCGATTCCGGTCAAGGGCATGTACCTTGGTTGCGGGCACATCCCCAGGAGGGGATGTGCAGGAGGCAGCTGATTGATGTTTCTCTCTCATCGATGTTTCTAACTATCCCTCTCCCTCTCTGTAAAAAATCATTAAAACAAACAAAAAAGAATGGTGGGCCTGGCCGGTGTGGCTCAGTGGTTGAGCATCAACCTATGAACCAGAAAGTTACAGTTCGATTTCTGGTAGGGATACATGCTTGAATTGTGGGCTTGATCCTCAGTGGGGAGCATCCAAGAGGCAGCCGATCAATGATTCTCTCTCATCATTGATGTTTCTATCTGTCTCTCTCTGAAATAAAATTTTTTTAAAAAGAAACACTTATTTTTTTTAAAAAAAAGGGTGGTAGTAGTGTGGAGGGAAAGCTAAACTTTTGAAACCTCGTAGTGATTCTGCCAAAATTCATGGGTAGAAGAAATGGAGAAGAAATCTTTGACCTGTAACTTAATATATGTGTATGTTGTATTTGTATACACTACCTGCTTGCCTGCCTTTCATAAGGCCCTACATCCGACACTTCCTGGGTGCAGGAGAATAAGATACCCCTCTTCAAAAATCTGACCATGGGGTTAGAAAGGAGGAGGCAAACATGTAAACCAGTAACTAATTGCGAAGCAGGATGAAATAAGTAATGACACAGAGATTCACGCACAGAGCTAAGGGAGCAAAGAGGCCAGAGTGACCGACCATGGTTCTTGCTTGAAGGGAGTTATATGCAGCAGCCTCTGGGAGTTAAGGGAGATCCCAGGTGCAAATAAACACACTCAGATGAGAAAGCAAGACTCGAATGGAATGGATTTGATACTATAACATATACGAAAGTCCTTGGCACATATTTTCAATTATTGTTTCAAAAACGAGTTGGCAGTTCAGTTGAGCCCTGAAGGATAAAACAAATGGAATTCGAGGAGAAGGGTTTTTCCAGGCTGAGGGAGCGGCCTGAAGATGGAGAGGTGACATTTGAGGCTCAGGAGGGAAATGGGAACAAAGGGCTGGATTGAGAAAACAGGACCTGGGGGTTATGTTAGACTAAATCCTGGGAGCTGTGTAGGTAACATGCCTGGGGTTAGGAGGAAATAAAGAGAACCGCAGTCATTTTACCTCCCTCTTTAGACATATCTCCAGCCTTTTTTGGGTCTATTTCTGATAAAAAACTACAAGAGGAGAGTAAGGAAATTCACATGTTGCAACAAACAAGAACATGTTTGTGGTTCCTAGTGTCCTAATTAAGGAATTGTGAAATAGTCCATTGCCTCTGCCCTCACCACTCCTCTCGTACCCGCGCCACCACCGTCTTTTCCACGGGAACCAACAGCATTAACTCCACCTCCCCATGTCTGCCAATCTCCCTCCCCCACCATCTCCGAAGCCAGAGTCACCACCACGGCCACAAGCACAACAGAGGAAGCTCCTGCCAGCGATGCCTGGGACCGTGTTGCACACTGTCCTGCCCGAGAATGCCACGCTTTGTCCGCGGAGAGAATACGTGTCAGCTGAGGGAGCCAGATGGTGCCTCTGACTCTGCAGGTCCTCAATAAATACCTATCAACTGGAGTTTCCATTGGTTAGGAGCTCTTGATTAAAACAAACGACCGCTTTTTGCTGCGTGACTGTTCCTAGGTCAATTTTCTCAATAAACGACATTAAGAATTTTAAGGAGCAATTTTGGTGTGAACAGTTTTGAGCCTAACTGCTGAAAAATTTCTACCACAGCCCTCATTACTACTATTTTCATATTATTTGAAAAAATGATAAAGGCGAAATTTTCCTAATTATAAAGGGAAGGCACATACATTACATAAAACTTGGACACTATCACACCCTCTCCCTTTCAAAGCATCCTTATACGCCCCCCCCCCCAAAAAACCCACAAAAACCCAATAACCAGACCATCCATCAGTTTCCGAGTGTTGCTATAACACATTACCACAAATTAGAGCCGTAAAAAAACTTGGTAGCTTACAGTTCTGGAGCTCAGAAGTCTGATGTGCCGGGCTCGATGGGCTAAAATTAAGGTGTCAACAGGCTGCGTGCATTCTGGTAGGTCTAGGGGAGAATGTGGTTCTTTGGCTTTTCCAGCGAACCGAGGCAGCCCACATCCTTTGGCTCATCCCCTTCCTCCAGCAAAACCAGCACCTTCGCCTCTTCTCTGGTCATCCCTCCATACCCACATCTCCCTCCCCTACCTCCCTCTTCCACTTTTAAGGACCCTTGAAATTACATTGGGCTCACCTGCTTAGCCCAGGATCATCTACTTGCTGATCAGCCTCTGCAACCTGAAGTCCTCTTGCCACGTAATGCAGCACATTCACAGGTTCTGGGATTAAGACGTGGTCATCTGGGGAGGTTGTGGTCATCATTCTATCACACCCATAATCTCCAGACTCAGAAACAGTAATCATAAACACTTTATTATATGACTTTCTAGTCTTTTTTTCAGTGTACATAAATGCAAATATCTACTACATGTAATAGGCTGCTTCCCACTTTAAAGTGGAATAATGACTGTGTGGGGAACGTAGTTTTCTGTGTAACTAGACTATTGTTTTAGTTTTCTGAGTAGTGTGTAGGTCATTACCTACTTTGAGCTCAGTTTATAATCAACAAAGCTACTTTGTAATAAGTAAATACTGGAGAGTCAATAAGGGTGCCCTACCTGTTCCCTTTTCCCCATTCAGATGCACTGGAAGTGGAGTGAATATATCAGTGCGTGTTGACTCAAGAGTTGGCAGGATTTGGCAAGAAAGTTTTAAAACTTCCGTCTGGGAAGAATCAGGGTTGTTCCAATGAAAACAGGAGCCATTGGCAGTAGTGAAACCTGGATGTGTTCACACCTGTAACACACCTTGTATTTATCACGCTTCAGCCCCCTGAGTTCTGTGAAAAGGAGAACTTGCTTATACACATATTCTACTAATTAATGTCCGGGCAACTACTTTCTTCTTCCTGCAGTGCCCTAACATTACACAAATATAAAGAATAATCCTCTCGATATCAGATATTTTTCTCCTGGCAGGTCACTTATGAGTCACCACCACCGATTTTTATAGCATTGTCCTCACAGACCATTCTCTAGGTGGGGAGTTGAAAGTAATATAGCAGTTCATGCTCTAAAGAAATTTCAAAATGGCTAAATGTGTTTGAGTAATCAAGTGAAATCAAGAAAACCACACGGAGTTTACTTTGAGTAACCTAATTACAACGGCAAAGAATGTGCTGTTTATTTATAGAGTACCTTTCCCCCAAAGACAGTAAATTACTAAATTATCTGATTGTCTCTTAAAACATAGATGGGAAGAGAGGAAGGATGGCATTTAGGTAAAGTTTATCTTATCTGGTGATAAGGGAGAAGGGTCTCTCATTCCAACTGCCCCCTCCCTCTCCCCCGTTTCCCCCCTTTTTCCTCATCCCTTTAGAACCCCAATTCCAAACTGGTGAAAGGATGGGTAGCAACTAAGCCCAGAGATGGGGTGACGAGTGAGAGCAGTCACTCACTTTTAATCTGGGTGTGACCTCTTTCTCTGCTTGTCCCTTGAGGTCTAAATAAAAGGAAATCACTCCCCCAATTCCAAGGCTTGTGGGTGACTTCTAGAAATTACTAGGCAGCTTAGAGTCTCAAAGTCACCTCTGGTTGCAGGTCTTGTTTTCTCAGTTTATGGACTGTTACACACACATACACACACACACACACACACGTGCGCCCCACTCCCACGGGGTGGTTTGCATGGTAAGTGGACTTGACTAAAGACTCTCTATTTCCATCTCTCTCTCTTCCTCACCTGGTGCCCAAGTTTAAAGTCATTGCCAACCCAGCTCCTCCTTCCTCTCACTGGCAAAATAAATTCCTCTGGTTTTGTCATGCAGAACCAGTCAGCCATTGCTTTTGTTGCCTCACTGCCTTCCCACAATCCTCGGATGCTCACCTGCTCCAAATGACTTATCAAGGTATTTCCCCAGGCAACGTTCCCTTCCTGGGAAGAATTCTTGTGTCAGCTGTTAAGACAAAAATTTCAACCCTGTATGACTTCTTTTTCAACTCTAGTTTTCAGCCTAGAGAGGGCTATTATTTCTTTTATTCAGGTGTATTTTGCGAGCTTATTTTATGCCAGGCGTGATTGCTGGAGCTTGGAACCCAGCAGGGAGTTAGACACCACCCTGGCCCTCATGGAGTTTCAGTCTCAAGCGGGAGAAATGTTTGTGACAATTAGCGATGTGAATAATTATTAACAACTGTGGTAAATTACCACAGAAGAAAATTTCTGTGTGTTATCTGGAGGGCCTTGGCAGTGACAGAAAGGGGTGATGGGTGAGAGGTAAGGGAAGGTTTCCCTGGCAACGTTTAATTTGCTCAGGATTAGAAAAGGCTGGTTTCCTCGTAGGTCAATTGTTCTTTTCTCTGAAAATGCTGCCTCTGAAGAGACAACTAAAACAGGAAGGATGACATTTGTTGAGTTTCAGTCCTGAATTAACTGATAATTCAAGGGTCACTTATTGAGGAGCTTCTATGTATCCGGTACTGTGCTAAGAGCACATGGACCTTGTATGAAACTAGAGTGGGTGACAGAAAACATCAAAAATAAAGAAGTATGGTTTTCAGGCAGTGTGACGTGAAGTAACTGGAAACAGGTGGCAGGGTAGGTGGTCAGAAAAGACTTCATGAGGCTCAGAGGCCTGGAAGGTGAGGAACTTGCTGAACAGTGTGTCTATCTAGACCAGTGGTTCTCAACCTTGGCTGCACATTAGAATCACCTGAGAATCTTTTTAAAATCTGAGTTCTGGGCCGCATCCTCCGGAAATTCAGTTTCTTTGTTACTAATGTTGTGGCCCCACCCCATAACAAAGAAACAAAATTTCCGGAGGATGAGGCCCAGAAATCAGGATTTTAAAAAGATTCCCAGGTGATTCTCATGTGCAGCCAAGGTGGAGAACCACTGACTGGTCTAGATAAAGGAAAGGTGTGTCAAAAGGCCCTGAGGCAGAAACAAAGGCTTGTCGGACATTAGAAGAAGGTAAGTGGGACTAGAGCAGTGATGGCGAACCTTTTGAGCTCGGTGTGTCAGCATTTTGAAAAACCCTAACTTAACGCTGGTGCCATGTTACATATAGAAATTTTTTGATATTTGCAACCACAGTAAAACAAAGACTTATATTTTTTATATTTATTTTATATATTTAAATCCATTTAACAAAGAAAAATCAACCAAAAAACTGAGTTCGCGTGTCACCTCTGACACGCGTGTCATAGGTTCGCCATCACTGGATTAGAGACAGGAAGAGGGGTAGGAGGACCTTGGTGTGGAGCCAGGACCTGCTTAGGTAGAGTTTTGTAGAGACTGGAAGAAGTTAGGGTCTTCCTTTTTTTTTTTTTAAAATTTCCAACTCTCTCCTCCCCTTTGGCAACCAACAACTTGTTCTCAATATGTATGGGTCTGTTGTTATATTTGTTGTTGTTTTTTTAGGTTCCCCATGTAAGTGAAATCATACGGTATTTTTCTTTCTCGAACTTATTTCACTTAGTATAATGCCCTCTAGGCCCATTCATGTTGTCTCAAATAGCAAGATTTCATTATTATTATTATTTTTTGAAAACAATCTTGTTTTTAAATTTTTTTTTAATTGATTTCAGAGAGGAAAGGAGAGGGAGAGAGAGATAGAAACATCAGTGATTAGAGAGAATCATTGATCGGCTGCCTCCTGCACACCCGCCAACCCTTGTTATTTTGGGTCTTCCCCCCCCCCCCCCCCAGAGTAAAATGAAGTTATCAGCAGGGGAGTTACTAATTTGTTTTATGTTTTAAAAAAATCATTCGTGACACAGGATACAGAATAGGTTGTTTATCACAGTGTTTTATAATAAATGGCCTAAACATCTGTCGATGCGGAAGGAAATCATAGTAGAGTCATACAATGGAATACTATGAAGCCATTAAAAAGGCAGTGTGTCAGCCTGTGCTAGGGTGAGGGACTGCGGCGTGGAAGGGTTACTGAATGTGGGAGGGGGAGGGACTGCGGCCTGGAAAAGGTTACTGATTGTATTAGGGTCAGGAACCGTGGCAGAGAAAAATTGCCAGATTGTCTTAGAAAAACAATGTGTTATGATATGCTCCAGCCAGGTGTGACTCCGTTTACCTCCCCTTTGTGCTCATGAACTTTCTGTGGACTTCTAAGGAACAGCTAATGAAATGCTTTGTATTTTTTTAACACTGTTTTGCTATAAAAGATCATACTGCACCTTTGGTCTCTGCCACATGGTCCGAAGCTCCCAGAGGGGGAGATAGGTGCTGTGGTCATCTGGCCAGCTTAATAAAGGCTCTTAAATTTAAATTCTGAGTCGGTGGTCTATCTTGCTGAGCCAACCCATAACAAGCCCAGCAGATGTGGCTCAGTGATTGAGTTTCGACCTATGAACCCGGAAGTCACGATTCGATTCCTGGTCAGGGCACATGCCTGGGTTGTGGGATCAATCCCTGGTAGGGTACATGCAAGAGAGAGCTGATCAATGATTCTCTATCATCATTGAAGTTTCTATCTCTCTCTCCTTTTCCCTTCCTCTCTGAAATAAATAAAAGTATTTTAAAAAATGGTGGCATGTCTATGTGTTTGCAGGAAAGATATCTACATTATATCTAATTGTGGGGGGAAACAGGTTACAATATGATAAATGTACTGAGCTGTAATAAGTCTGAAAAGTCATAAACAAAAATGTTTATATTATTTATCTTTGGGAGGTGATAATATAGAGTTACCTTTCTTTTTTTCCCCTTATACCTATATTTTCTAGCTTTTCCACTTGAGTAATAAAAAAAGGCAAATCAAAATAATATAAAAATAAGTTCAGGAGACATAAGATTAGAATATGGCCTGACAGTAATGTGGCATGTTCATTTACCGAGAATTATGTTTATAGCTTACTTCAAAACATGAAGGCAGACATTTCAAATGTATTCATAAAATTTATAATGAAAAACTGGAAGTGTGATTACTTTAGATATTATTCTTTAAAATTAGTGTTCATAGTATTTCTCTTCTTCCTGCATATATTAGTCATTGTCTTTGATCATACATTTTCTCAGATCCAATGTCAAGCTCTTTCCCAAGTGGGAATGCTTCTGTGTTGCCTTGCTTTATTTTTTGAATTGGGATTCGAAAATATTTCTATTATTGTTCCACTTAAAATTTCCAATAAAAACAATTTGAAGAATGGGAAACTAAGACTCAGTGGTATATATTTGAGCTCCTGGTACCTTTTATGAGTTGTTGTTCTATTTGTTGTTCCTCTATTTTCGCTCTGAGAGCATTGTGTAATTCTAGATTTACACTTAATTCTTTCTGTTCCCCAATTGCTGATGTTTTAAGT